CCCTCCCTCCCTCCCTTTCTTTCTTTTTCCTTTTAGATTTTCAAGACAAGGTTTCTCTGTGTAGCCCTGACTGTCCTGGAACTCGCTCTGTAGACCAGGCTGTCCTGGAACTTGACTCTGTAGACCAGGCTAGCCTCAAATGTGAGTACGCATGTTTTGGTAGTGACAGTACCTCCAGCTCTCTCACCTTAGGGCTCTATGACTGGTCTCCTTGCTAAAGGATCTGAGATGCTCCTACTTGATATAAATAGGACATTTAGGTGGGTGTGGTGGTGTAGGCCTGTAATCCCAGCTAATTGCAAGGCTGAGGCAGAAGGATTGCAAGTTCAAGGGCTACCTGCACTACAGAGTAAGTTTGAGGCTATCTTGGGCAAGTTAATGAGATGCTCTCTCAAAATCAGTTAAACAGAGGGCTAGGGCTACAAGTCAGTGATGGAATACTTTCCTAGCATTCGTGAGGCCCGACATTCACTCTTCAGTACTCAATAAATAAATAATCAGCAGTAAAATAGGGCATTCCATAAGAGATGGAAGGAGCATTAGATGTGGGTTTATGGCCGTTTAGTGGCACTAAAATGGCTTTCTAGTTCTTGGAAGGAAAAACAATAAGAAGTGATAGTAGCAATGTGTTTATTTTTAGGTGTGTGTGTGTGTGTGTGTGTGTGTGTGTGTGTAGGTTTGTTCACATAAGTGCAGGTGCCTTAAGAGGCCAGAAGAGGATGTTGGTTCCCCTGAAGCTGGAATCACAAGCTATTGTGAGCCCCGCTGCTGTGGGCATTGAGAACCAAACTTGAGTCCTCTGCCAAAGCAACCAGCTCTGCTGAGCCATCTCTCCACCCCGAGAATATTTTCAGTAGAGAGCTGTAGTATCCTGTTGTCGAGAGCATCAGGTAGTGAGGGAGTGCCAAACCCTGTGCTCAGTCCTCGAATTCTCTAGTCCCAGTGGAGATTCTGAGCTGGTGGCGGCGCTGCCAACCAGAAGAGGAGCTCTGGGCATGCCCAGCTCTGCCTCACAGAAGCCTGACCCAAGTCATCACCCAGGCTTCCGGGCCTCCACATCCTTATCTGGCAGAGGGTCACTGTGACTGTTAAATACGCAGAACAGTGCCTGGGACATAACACACTTTCTTACATTTTAGCTACTCTTTTTTTTGAAATGAAAAAGCTATTTAAAGATTGTGTGCATTCGTGACATTATGCCAGAGCAAATGGGTGGAGGTCTCAGGACAGCTTCTGCGAGTTGGTTCTTTTCTTCTACCATGTGGACACTAGGGGTCAAACTCAGGTTGTCCGGCTTGGCAGCAGGTGCCCAGCTCTCTCTCCAGCTTTTTCTCTTAGCCTGGAGTTCCCTCCTGCCTTTCCTGTCCATGCTCCCAATCTGTACACCCACTGGCTGGGTTCTCTGTGTTCTCATCACTGTGGCTTCACAGGGTTGTGTGTGAGAGGGTGCATATATACACGTCTGTTCATGTGGGTGGTCAGAGAACAGGGTCTCTCATTGCTCTAGAGCTCAACGAATAGATTAGGCTGACTGACTGGCCAGTGAGCCCCAGGAATCTGCCTATTCCCACACCCCCAGGACTGGAATATAAGCACACACCGTGCTCAGATTATTGCTATTTTCTTTTTTAAATTTTATTTATTTTTATTTTATAGTCATTTTGCCTGCATGCATGTTTATGTGAGGGTGTCAGATCTTGGAGTTATAGACAGTTGTTAGCTGCCATGTGGTGCTGGGAATTGAACCGGGGTCCTCTGGAAGAGCAGTCAGTGTTCTTAACTGCTGAGCCATCTCTCTAGCTTTATTGTTACTTTCTTAAAAATTATTATTTTATGTGTATGGGTATTTTGCCCACATGTATGTCAACTGGTTGTGAGCCTCCCTGTGGGTACTGGGAACTGAATCCAGGTCTCTGGAAGAGCAGCCAGTGCTCTTAGCTACTGAGCCATCTTCCTAGCCCACTAGATTTTTTGAAGTTTATTTATTTATTATTTATTTCTATATATGAGTGTTTTGTCTACATGTATCTCTGTGTACCCCATGAACACCTGGTATCTGCAGAGGCCAGAAGGGAATATCAGATTTTCTGGAACTGTAGTTACAGATGGTTGGAGCTATCCTGCAGGTGCTGGGAGTTCAACCTAGGCCCCCTAAAAGAGCAGCCAGTGCTCTTAACCACTGAGCCATCTCTCCATTCCCCGCCCCCTAGGTTATTTTATTTATTTATTTATTTAGGTTTTTCAAGACAGGGTTCTTCTGTATAACATCCCTGGCTGTCCTGGAACTTGCTCTCTAGACCAGGCTGACCTCAGTCAAACTCACAGAGATCCACCTGTCTCTGTCCCCCTGGTGCTGGGATTAAAGGTGTGTTCCTCCACCGCCCAGCTCCAGGTTATTTTTTTAATGTGGGACCAAACGTAGGCCCTCATGCTGGCGAGACAAGCACTGTGATGACTAAGCCGTCTCCTGAGCCCTCTATGGAGTTTTGTAATTGCATTTTTGCGTCCTTCCCTCACTCAATTTCATTGTCCTGGACATCAGGGTCTGTAATAACCTATGAACTCATGTCTGGCATGGTCTTGCTGCCCAGTATGTTTGTTAGGTGAATAAATGGCATGAGACAACTTCAGGCACCATTGTAGACGATATTTGAAAAATTAGTACAGTTTGACAAAAGATACCAAGATACAGACTGATGATTCTAGAACCCTTCCCGCAAGCTTTGAGGTGATGTGAAGGAGTTCCTTCTCATTTTATGAAAGTGGAAACCTCGTGTCGAAGGCACTGAGCTACGTGACAAAGAGATAGATAGTCCTGGAGACTTTTATTTCTGTGTTTCTTTTTGGCCTGAGGCCTGGCTCTGCGTCTGCAAGAGGCTGTGACTCCAGGCGTGATACATGAACACGTGCTTGTGTTCCTCTCAACAGCAACACGGGAGCGTTTACTGGAAGACTGGAGCCAGCCTGGCGCTGTCAAGCCTGTCACCAGCTCTTCCGTTACACCAGCAGCTGAAGGTGAAGATGCTTGTGAATTTAATAGACCCGCAGAGCCTGCAGAGCGACCCCTGTGTCCGGTGAACCCAGCAATCTGGGACGTCTCTGCACCGTCATGAGTGGGAAGTGGAATATGGTCTGCCTCGTTCCCAAGCTGACGTCTCCTTGGCGTTGCCCAGAGGTTCAGATGGCCTCTCATTAATGAGTCCCTTCCTTCGCGGAGTAGCGGTGGGCTCTTGGTGATGCCAGGAGGTGGGGTCTCCAGTTTCCCTTCTCCCCCTGTTTCCAAAGCCCCAGCTGACCTGCGCTCTGGTGCCACTGTCGCCCTCTGCCCGTCTCCTGCAGCCTGGTTTGCCCTGGCATCTTTAAAAGAGATCATCCAGCCTCGGGCTTCCTTGAGAGACCTCGCTGGTCCTGCAGAAGACTTGTCCCCAGGGTCTTCAGTGTGACTGCCAGCCCCAGGGTTGCCTCTAGTCAGTGGTAGAAGGGAAACCCGAACCTCCCCTGCTCTTTCCAGGCCTGCTTCTCCATCAGCGACTGCCCAATATGGATGGACTCCAGTACCACAGCCCAGTGCCGCCAGCTGGAGGCTGCGGTGGGCGGGGCCCGGGCTCTCAGCTGCCTCACAGGGTCTCGGGCCTATGAGGTAGGTAACAGCCATGCCGGGATGGGGAGTAAGGCTCTGGGAGGGTGTAGTGGGCACCCAGACTCCCAGATGTGCAGGGACCGTCTGAACTGAGGCTAATGTCGGTCCCTGAAGCCAGGCTTCATGCTGGCCCTGGGTTCTTTTTGGTTTTTTAAAGACAGGGTTTCTCTGTGTAGCTTTGGAGCCTGTCCTGGCACTCGCTCTGTAGACCAGGCTGGCCTCGAACTCGCAAAGATCCACCTGTCTCTGCCTCCCAAGTGCTAGGATTAAAGGCGTGCGCCACCAATGTCCAGCTTGGCCCTGGGTTCTAATCCAGGCTGCCCTGTCTCATTCAGTAGGCAATGGCAATTTCCTTTTATGTAGTCCCTGGCCAGGGCTGGGGTATGGACATGACTGCACCCCTCCTGGAACTACTGTGTAGGGGGAGGAGTGGCTGCCTCAGACTCGTGGTCTATGACCTCACGATAGCAAGCGGAACATAGTCTATTTGAGGTGCTTTTGAGGTTGAAAGAAGTTAGAGTCCAGCAGACTTAACTCAAGGGGCCCCAAAGGCTTCAGCCACGGCCCCAGAGTTTGTTGTGATTGGGTATCTTGGGTCACATGACTATGGCTTAAGTAGGGGATGGAGGTCTAGAGATTGCTCTGGATTTGCAGAGGTTCGGTTCCCAGGGCACCAGGTGACTAGCACCTGCGAGTAACCCCAGCTCCAGGGTGTTGGACACTCACTCTGGCCTTCTCGGGCTTCTCCATGGACAGCCGCACATTTACCTCCCTCATACGCAAAGTGAGAATAAAGGCAAAACATTTTAAGCCTAGTTAGAACACTAACAGTACGGTTTCCACAAGGAGACTATCTGAGCCCCCGCCTCTGGTCTCATGAAGCTGGGAAGCGGGCTCTGTGATTAACGGCACTGGCTGCTCTAGCAGAGGACCTGGGTTCAGCTCCCAGCCCCGACATAGCAGTTCATGTCGTTCTAGCTAGCTCCAGGGCGATCTGATGCTTTTCGGAACTCTGTAGGTTCCTGCACACACACGACGCACAGACACACACTCAGGCATTGGCCCATACACATTAATTACATAAATAAATATATTTTAAGGACATTTACAGTAAGGGCCATTCACAGAGCTGACTGACACATGAGACGCTCTCCCAGGAAGTCAAGGCTACTGCCTTGTCTGTGGATGCAGAAGGATTGCTGACTGCCCCAGAGCTTGTTACTAAGAACATTTTCAGAACTCAAAGGCCCAAATACACCGTATTCCGTGTTTGGCTGGTAACAAGCATTTCTGAATTTGGGGGTTTTTCAAAGTTATTGGTATTCTACACCACATCCAGATGGTGCTATGTTAATCGCACTTTGAGATTATTCTGTGTAGGGTCAGAGTGTCTAAGAATCTGTGCTCTTTTCTCCCTAGCGCTTTACTGGCAACCAGATAGCAAAGCTCTTCCAGCAAAACCCCGAGGCCTACTCACACTCCGAGGTTGGTGAGCCTCCGTGTCCCATCAAAGTCACGCTTAAATCCTGTTGTTCACACTCGTCTCAGCGCTGACACACCTCGTATACTTTGGTTAAGGCCTTTGGCGAGCAGGTGTTAAGTGATTCAGAGAGGGGCTGTTGAGATGGCCGGAGGGTTCAGGGACTTGCCTCCAAGCCTGACCGCCTGAGCTCAATCCCCACGACTTACAGGGTCTTTTCTAACTGTAGATGCGCAGAGGGCACTGTGCCACAGTTGTCTGCGGCAGTTGGTACAGGAGCCCAGGAGCCATAGGCTGCACCACACGGTCTTGCTGTGCTCCAGGCTCTCCTGTCCAGATTTATATAAACATTCCAGATGATGTTTGCACGGTGATAAAATTGCTTGGGACGTTCTTCCTTTGTCCTTCCCTCTTTCCTTTCCTTTCCTAAATTTATTATTTTATTAAAAATAAAATCATCCCATTTATTTAGTTGTGTGTATGGGTATGTGTGTGGAGGTCAGAGGACAATTTATGGGATCTGGTTCTCACGTGGAACCCAGAGATGGAACTCAAATTTTCAGGCTTGGTAGCAAGTCCCCTAACCTACTGGGCCATCTTGCTTATTTTTTTCTTTTTTTTTTCTTTATTTGTCTTTTCGGCAGCAGGATTTAACTATGTAGTACAGGCTAGCCTGGAACACTTGATCCTCCTGCCTTGGATTCCTGAGTGCTGGGATTAAAGGTGTGCCCCACCACTGCCCGGCTCATTCTTTTTACTTATTTACTTTTTTTTTGAGTGTGGTTTCTGGGACAGGGTTTTGCTTTGAACTCACTATATAGACCAGTTTGCCTTCAAACCCCTGCCTCTCCCTCTAGTGCTAAGAACACAGGACGATACCACTATACCTGGCTGCAGTTTATTACTTAATGATTCCAGCTTCCAGATTACTCTGCAGCGTTAGCCACTGAGGAATGAAAACCCTCCTGAAGGTGTATGTGTGGATCAAGGCATTTGTCCCAATGGGGACTAGAGGTGGTGGCTCCCTCTCTAAAGATTCTGAGGCTGATGCTTACAGTTTTCTCTTCGGAACATGACCGGGTGTTGTAATTTCTTTGTGTCATTTTGTCTTTAAACTTGTGTAGTCTTGAGAATCTTGCCTCATTCTGTGTTCTGTGGCCACATATCCACTTCTCTGTGACAAAATGCCAAAGACATGGAAGCGGAGTGAAGAATTGAGGGTGTAGGAATGGATTCCAGGTGAAAAACTAGCCTCCCTAAGTGGGACATGTTCACGGGGCTCTGGCTTTTGTTGTTATCAATCATGATAGTTTTGTAGCCTGAATGGATACTCTGTCTCTATCACTCCCTGCTGAAGTTTCAGCTTCTGTTCCTCCTTCTCTCTCTCTGTCTCTCTCTGTCTCTCTCTGTCTCTCTCTGTCTCTCTCTGTCTCTCTCTGTCTCTCTCTGTCTCTCTCTGTCTCTGTCTCTCTGTCTCTGTCTCTCTGTCTCTGTCTCTCTCTCTGTCTCTCTGTCTCTCTCTGTCTCTCTGTCTCTCTCTCTCTCTGTCTCTCTCTCTCTCTCTCTCTCTGTCTCTCTCTCTCGTCTCTCTCTCTCTCTGTCTCTCTCTCTCTCTGTCTCTCTCTCTCTGTCTCTCTGTCTCTCTCTCTCTCTCTCTGTCTGTGTACGTGCACGCATGCACAGAAAGCGTACTGTAGCTTAGGGTGTGAGGAAGGGAGTCCTTTCTCACCCTGCTCCCTTCTCTTCCAGAGGATTTCCTTGGTCAGTAGTTTTGCTGCTTCGCTGTTCCTGGGTGGGTACTCGCCCATCGACTACAGTGATGGTAAGCTTCAGCCCATGTAAAGATGCTGTTCACATGCAGGGCGGCCATGGGCACTGCACACGCCTCATCCAGCCTGGATGGGTGCCAGTCAGGCAGCTGTCTTATCATTCCAAGAAGGAAGGAGTATTAGTTATCTTCTGGTGTGTAACAAGTGTCCCCATCACTTACTGGCTTAAGATGGCAAATGTTTAAGTTCTCCCTTGTTACCTGAGGGTCCCTTAGTCCGGAATGTAGCGGTAGCTGGACTGGTTGGTCCTAGTTCAAGATCACTCGCATTGTTGGCAAATTGGCAGCAAGGGCTGCAGGCATCTGAAGGCTACACTGGAGCTGCGGGATCTGCTTCAGAATCTTGTACAAGACCTTTGGCAGGAGGCTTCTAAAGTCCCTCTGTAAGGTTGTTGATGACATCGCTAGAAGGGAGGGGGCAATGAGAGAGAGGCCTGCAGGGAGTGAGAGAGGGTCCTGCAGGGAGGGAGGGAGGGGGG